GGGGGGGGGTAAATTGTATATTTTTAAAACTTTAATATCTATTATTTGACTTAGTTTGTTAATTAGTCGACTAGATGCAATGGCCTAACAGTTATAATAGCAGAATGTAAAACACAGAAAGTATGTGCAGGAATTAAAGACACTGGAATTTTATACTGGTTCAGATTCAATGTGAATCCTAGTCTAGTCCCCTTGGGTTGCAAGGGAGTTCTCTTTAGTAAATGCGTTTCTCCGAGTACAATAGAATTGACGTGATAGCTAAATTCCTATAACACTCTTCTCTTTTGATACAACGCCTCACCAGTGTTGTACTCTCCTTTTTTCTCTAACTTGTTACACAAAAGATCTTAGAGAACTACAATGTTTGTATTCAGTAGAACAAAGAGAGGATTTTGGTTCGATCAAAGTATATTTGTCTAAGGCTTGATGCTGAGTATAAATACTTTGGTGAAGACCGTTTGCTGATAAGACTTGACAACCCAAGAGATTTGATCCTTGGAAAGAGATTGATTCTTTCCAAGAATAAGATTGCGTACCGTTGCTCTTCCTTGATGAGAGGAAATTAATAGCTTTCCTTCTACAGTTGTTAATGATGAGAGTTTATTCCTTGATTTTTGATCCTTCCAAAATTAGCCGTTCAACTACTCTTCTCACAGAATCTTCGATGCTTTTTGACTGCTTCAATCTTCCGGATTTGAATGTGATGGCCTTGATTAATGCCTTAAGTTTAGGCTTGCTTGATTCTTTCCATCGCAATCTTTGCTGATTGATTTCCTTCCTTAGGCATCTAGATTTGCTGACTGATTCATATCTTTGCTGATTGATTCATTTCCTTAAGCATCCAGATTGACTCCAGCAATCTTGTTCTCCCTTAAGTAGCTCCTCGATTCCTTGTTCTTCTGTACTTGATTTCCTACACAGATATATTATTTTCATCATTAAAGTTAAATCTAACACTGAGGTCACTGTGTGCCTCCTCCTATTCAGACTGGGAGGAGTGCTTAGGAATAATGCAAATTGCCCAAGCCGCTGAAGTTTGGCTTGTTGTTCTTGTTGGCTAGGAGTAGCACCCCTTTTTTGTCTACGAGCAGGCGGTGATCGTGTTGGATTAGACTTCTTTGGTGCCATTCCTGTTGATGAAACATTGTGTGAGTGTGTGAAATAGCATAAGAAATACATTAGAGACAAAGGAAAGAAGTAAGTAGACTATGCGATGGGTTATGCGATCACATATCAACTATGCGGTTCGCAAACCCATCACAGATGTGCACAACATAAAAGGAAAAAATGGTTATGTGATCGCAAAAGCAACAACATTTGTGGTTAAGCGACCGCAAAGTGATCGCATTTCTTATCACCAGAAAGGCTTATTGTGTGCCTCACTTTGCAGCAAATATGCGCATAAACATAAGCGGTTTGAGATTGCAAAAGAAATTGCATAACCCTTTTTGCATTAGACCCCCTACAACTTTGCGGACCGCAAACCAATTATGCGGCCCGCAAAGATCGTCTTCTCCATTGAAACAGTGCCCCCCTTTTTTTTCTTTCAATATGCACATCCCACTCACATGTTCTTCACACCATATGCACAGCAAACTCACGTGCTTTCCTATTGCTACCTACTTAGATTTTCATTTTTTTAGATGAGAGGGGTACTCAAACTTCCCCTTTTTTGTTTCATCAATGAGAACCCACACAGTCACTCAACCAGATCCTCACCACCATACTCAGAGAGAATTTAGGGGAGCAAGGGGGACGACCATGGGGCTCAGAATGCAGGAAGAAATATAAGTCACAATTACGAGATGGAGAAGGAACTCATACTAGATGTTGAGAAAGATTTTGCAGCTCGAAATGCTTCATGTGAGTGGGAGTCCTTGCTTGGTGAGCAAATTTTTCTCTTTTTGATATTTTCTCCTTTTTTTCCTTGCTCGCAAATTTTTTTCGTTTGATTTTTGATTAAGTGTTAGTGTGTGATAAGAGTGAGGATGAAAATACAGAAGGTAGGGTTTTGTACCTGTCATATTTGCGATGCTTAAATCCATCACAGAACACATTATGCGATCGAATATGTGTTGTGCGATGGACTAATGACTGCGCAACCTAAGCTAACTTTACGATGTACTATGCGATCACAAAGTTGTTATGCGGGTCGCATAAGTGAAAAGCTTACCGCATATTTGACCATCAAATTAACCAATTTCTCTGCCTGGGTCTGCAATGACTATGTGATTTGCATAGTCATTATGTGACCGCATAAAGACCGCATAGTTGTCGCAAATTCCGGACCTTTCTTTCCTTCAATTTCCTCAGCACTAGGACCCTGTTCATGATATTTTGGGACTACCTGCACTCTAACACATACGTCAATTTGCTCAATCTAAACTATATAATAAAAAAATTACAAAAGAGTGTTACCATACATGGGTTGCCTCCCAAGAAGCGCTTGATTTAATGTCGCGACACGACGTAGTTTACCCCTTTTTGGGCTATTCATTAGTGGGGACTGCTGTTGGACTATCCCTTAGAGCAAGTTGTTCTATCAAATGCCTTTCTCCTGTTGTACCGAGATAATGCTTGACTCGTTGACCATTCACCTTGAAAGTCGAGTCCCATCCTTCGACTCCAGTTCAATAGCACTATAGGGGCACACACTCACAACTTTAAACGGGCCAGACCATTTGGACTTGAGTTTTCCCTAAAATAACTTGAGTCTTGAATTGAAGAGTAAGACCAAGTCACTGGAATTGAACTCCAGCTTCAAGATCTTCTTATCATGGACAAACTTCATTCTCTCCTTGTACATGGTTGCACTCTCATAGGCATGGAGACGAAATTCATCTATCTCATTGAGTTGTGTCATTCTCAGATTAGCAGCCTCAGCCCAGTCAAGATTCAACTTCTTTAATACCCACATGGCTTTGTGTTCAAGCTCCATTGGCAAGTGACATGCTTTGCCAATAACCAACCGGTACGGTGAAGTGCAAATGGGAGTCTTAAATGCAGTGCAATATGCCCACAACACATCATCTAGTTTCCTTGACCAGTCGGTCCTGTTTGCATTGACAATTTTAGCTAGGATGTTTTTGATTTTCCTGTTAGAAAATTCAACCTGACCACTGGATTGAGGATGATAGGGTGTGGCCACCTTGTTCTTTACACCATACTTTTCAAGCAGCCCGGCGAAAGCCTTGTTGCAGAAATGAGAACCACCATCACTCAGGATGGCCCTTGGGTACCAAACCGTGTGAATATGTTCTTCTTCAAGAATGCGGTTACACTCCTTGATTCATTGTTAGGAAAAACGATTTCCTCAACCTATTTGGAGACGTAGTCCACAACCACCAAGATGTAGGTCATGTCATAAGAGCTCACGAAAGGGCCCATAAAGTCTATCCCCCACATATTAAAGATCTCGACCTCCAATACAAAATTCATAGGCATCTCATGTATTTTAGATATTGACCCTTGTCTTTGACATTGATCGCATGCCTTGACTATTTGATTTGCATCTTGGTAGATCGATGGCCAATAGTATCCATATTCAAGCACATTTGCAGCTGTCCGGTTTCCTCTATGATGACCCCCAACCGGAGAATCATGGCATGCTTTGAGAATTGGAATTACTTTATCTTCCGAAACACAATGCCGAATGATGTAGTCAACACAAATTCGGAACAAAAAGGGTTCCTCCTAGTAGTATTGCCTACACTCCTACAAGAACTTTTTCTTTTGATAAGTCTCCAATCTATCGGGAATAAGATCACTAACCAAGAAGTTAGCAATGTCGGCATACCAAGGAGCGAATGTGCTAGACAATGCTAATATGTGCGCATCCGGAAAAGCATCATTGATCTCAAGGTCTTCTTTTAGTCTCCCTGCCTCCTCAAGCCTAGATAGGTGATCCGCAACTTAATTTTCTATCCCTTTCCAATCCCTGACTTCAAAGTCAAACTCTTGCAACAAAAGGACCTACTGAATCAATCTTCGTTTGGCATCCTTCTTCGCTATAACATGACAAAAAGCAGCATGACCAGTGTAAACTATCACTTTGGACCCCAACAAATAAGCTCGAAACTTTTCAAAAGCATAGACAATGGAGAGAAGTTCTTGCTTAGTCACATTGTAATTCATTTGGGCACCATTAAGTGTCTTTCTTGCATAGTAGACAGGGTGAAGGATCTTGTTGTAACGTTGGCCAAGCACCTCTCCAATAGCTACACCACTAGCGTCACACATGACTTTGAATGGAAGAGACCAATCGGTTGTGGCAATAATAGGTGCCGCGGTGAGCTTTTCTTTCAATTCCTCAAAATCCTTGAGACACTTCTCATCAAATATGAACTTTGAATCTTTTTCAAGGAGTTTGCACATGGTATTTTCAATTTTGGAGAAGTCCTTGATAAAACGCTTATAGAAACCAGCGTGCCCCAAAAAGCTTCGGATATCTTTTACTGAACTAGGTTGAGGAAGCTTCTAAATGATCTCGATCTTTGCCCACTCAACCTCTATGCCTTGTTTGGAAATTTTGTGGCCTAATACCATGCTCTCGTCCACCATGAAGTGACATTTCTCCCAATTTGCACAAGGTTTGTTCTTCACATCTTTTGAGCACTTGCCTAAGATTGTCAAGACAATGCTCAAAGGAATCACCCACTACAGAGAATTCATCCATAAACACCTCTAAGAAATATTCCACCATGTCCGAGAAGATTAACATCATGCACCATTGGAAAGTAGCCAGAGCGTTGCATAGCCCAAATAACATACGACTAAAAGCAAAAGTCCCATATGGGCATGTGAATGTCGTCTTCTCTTGATCTTCCAATGCGATATTGATTTGGTTATATCTGTAATATCCATCCATGAAGCAATAGAATGACCTTCTTGCTAGCCGATCAAGCATTTGATCAATAAAAGGCATAGAGAAATGGTCCTTGCACGTAGCACTGTTTAACTTCTGGTAGTCCATGCAAACTCTCCATCTGGTCATTGTTCTCGTTGGGATGAGCTCATTTCTATCATTTTCAATCACAATCATGCCTCCTTTCTTTGGCACACATCACACCAGACTCACTTAAGAACTATCGGCAATGGGGTAGACTACCCTGACATCTAACCACTTGATGATTTCTTTCTTTACCACCTCTTGCATGGAAGGGTTTAACCTTCATTGATGCTCTAGACTTGGTTTACTCTCTTGCTCCAATTATATCTTGTGTTCATAAATTCCGGCGGGAATCCCTCGGATGTCCACTATTGTCCACCTAATAGCTTGCCTATGCTCCCTCAAGACATTCAACAGTTGTTCTACCTTCATATCATTCAACAAAGAAGAAACGATTACCGGTAGAGTGTCACTAGAGCCAAGAAATTTATACCTCAAGTGCGGTGGAAGTGGTTTGAGCTCAAGTTGCGGTGGCTCAATAATTGAAGGCTTGGTGGGAGGAGTGACTCTATTCTCCAAGTCAAGAGAAAGTTTCTTTGGAGCATAAATGTAGGACCCAAGCGCTTCTAATGCATTCATCGATTCCATGTACCCCTCCATATCTTTAGCATAAAAAATTTACCAAAATAGCCGCCAATGCCTCACCAAGGCATTGTTCTTCCATCTTCATTTCAATTGTGTCCTCTACCTCATCAACAATATCAATGACTGAGATGCTTTCATATGCATTTGGAAACTTCATTCCCTTGGTCGCTTGGAAGGTGACCTCTTCATCATTGACTTAGAACTTGATCTCATTTCATTCCGAATCCGTAAGTTCTCTTTCGCTAGCAAGAAATGGTCTCCCCAAGATGATAGGGATCTCTTTGTCAATAGCACAATCAAGGATCACAAAGTCGGCGGGGAGGTGGAACTTTCCCATTTTCACAAGCACATCATCAACAATTCCCACCGGTCTCTTTATTGAATGATCAGCCATTTGCAACCTCATACTTGTAGGCCTCGGCATACCTAACCCCACTTGATTATAAATAGCAAGAGGCATTAAATTGACGCTAGACCTATTATCACAAAGAGCTCTTGCAAAATCATGTGCCCTAATAGTGCATGGAATGGTAAAAGCTCCCGGGTCTTCTTTCTTTTGAACGGTGGTTGTTGCAATGATGGAACTAACCCAGTGGGTCACATTCACCCCTTCATTCGTTTTAGTTTTCTTCTTGGTGATCAAGTCTTTCAAATACTTAGGAAAACCCATCATCTCTTGAAATGCTTCCACAAATGGAATATTTACCGATAATTGCTTGAGAATGTCTTCTCGAGTTTGCTATAATCAACCTTCCTAGCAAGTCTTTGAGGGAAAGGATGAGGGGGTCTAGGAAGTGGTGTTAGAGTTTTTGGCGTCTCTTTCATCTTTTCCTTAACCTCTTCCCGATTCACTTCTTGAACTTTCAACTCTTCCGGGACCTTTTTAGATTCAACAACAATTGGGACATCAACTTGTGTGTCAACTTCTTGTTCAGAATCTTCCACTTCAACCACTTGTTCACTCTCTCCTTGAAGTACTTTCCCACTCCAAGTAGTAATTTCCATGCAATGAGAAGTTGGACCACTCCCACTACCCTTTGGGTTTGCAATTGTGTCACTTGGGAGTGTCCCCTTTTGCTTTGGTTTTTTCTATCTTGAGAGATCTCTCATTTGCATCTCCAACTTTTGAATAGATGTGGTATGAGAGCCGACAATATCGGTCATATTCCTCATTAAAGTGTCGGACCTATATTGATTTTGCAATACCCACTCAAGCATGTTTTCCAACTTGGAATCACTTGAGGAACCTTGATTTGAATATTGCCCCTTTGGTGGAACATACAGGTTTGGACTCCGATTTGAAAAGTTGTTGTTGTTGTTGTTGTTGTTACTCCAATTCCCTTGATTTGAACTACCTTGGTCATTTCGCCACTGTTGGTTGCCTTGCCCTTGCGGGTTAGGCCTCTATTGGTTTTGTCGTCCTGAACCTTCATATTGTTGCCTTTGATAACCTCCTTGAGAGTTGTTGACATAATTTTCTTCTTCATAATCTTCATTTGATGTGGGTTGAACATCTTTCACCACATTTACCTTTTTTGTTTGGCTTTCAATGAACATCTTTGTCAACACATTGACATTGGTGGTGACCGGCAATTACTTGATCTCTTTCTTGGTTCTCCTTAATCATGTTGGTCAAGGAAGGAGTACCAAATGCAATTCCACCTGTGGTGTCCTCTGAGTGCCAATCTTGGTTATGTTTTGCCATTTTGTCAAGGATTTGTGTGATCCTTGCAAATATTTTATCCATGAAAGATCCATCAGCTGCATTCTTGGCTATACATTGGTTCATAGCATCCAAACCCATGTATAATTTCTCCAACAAGATAGAATCCTAAAAACCATGATTCGGCGACCTCACCAAATATAACTTGAATCTATCCCATACCTCATGTATATTTTCTCCGGTAGTTGCTTGAAAAAGAAAATTTTATCCCGGAGCTCAGATTTCTTGCTTTGCGGGAACCATTTAGCTAAGAATGCTCGGACAAGTTCAGGCCAAGAATGGTGCTTGGACAAGTTCAAGCCAGCCAGTAAGTACTTGAACACCCTCAATCTTAGGGCATCATCTGAGACGTTGTTCTGCTTGTGCATCGCACACACTCCCAATAAGTTTCTAGGATGTTGAGTCGGATCCTCATCGGAAGAATTTCTGAAACCCCCCTCTGCTTTGATGTTACGTCCCACAATATTACATCGATATTACGTCCTGTAATATTATATTATGATGATGTTACGCCTTGCAGTATTACATTACGATGATATTACGCTTCACAATATTAAATTACGAAGATTTTGTACCCTATAGTATTGTACGTTGAATTTGTCGTAAGGTAATGGACATCAGTCCAATGAAAAGATTATTTGGAGATTATAAGGATTATGCTATTTTAAATAAGTGATGAGTAAATTTGTGAAGGTGAGATGGGAAGCAAGTCAAAGGAAATGAATTTTCGTCCAAGTTTGACATGTTGGGATAAAATAATACCCAAACTCAAATACCCGGTATTTATAGACTAGTACCATACAAGGTACCACATGACCATGATAGTAAAGTGTATAAGGTGTGTTAAAAGTGAGTAGTATTATAAGTAATTTGAGATAATTCTTAATTATGTGGGTAATTGGATAATTATTGAATTAGTGGGGAATTAATAAGTTGATTAAGGAGAAGGGGTGAAAATTTGAATAAGTATGTGTAGTAACGTAGCGGCACCCCTCAAAATTCCATGATGACTCTTTAAGGCATTATAGTATGTGGCAAAATCAAAGAATATGAGACTTGGCATTCATTTAATAATGGAAATCCACTATAAGTCTTGGAAATATAAGAATCTTATCCATTATTAAGAATGTACATCACAAACTTGCATCTGATAAGAATTCAAAGAATTCAAACGTAAAATGTTTGTGTAGTTGCCCCTCTCTATCACTCTTAGCAGCCAACGATCACCCAATGTTTACCAACTTCAAATTATTTAGCAAATTAAGTTCACTGCATCAGTGAAGATTTTCATTTTTTAACCAAAATCCAACGAGATTTCTTAGCACACTAGTAACGTGAAATTTTGCGATTCTAAGGGAGTACGGTGCAATCTTTTCCAAGAATATTATACGGATTTTCCCTACTCCAGGTATGTTAAGGCTATCCCTTCTTTCATTTTGGCATGATCTATACGATGCAAATGAAACGAGTAAATGCACAACTTCCATAAATGATTCTATTCATAGAAGTATTAGATGTGACTATGTTCTTGAATTCCTATGTATCTTATTATTTCATCTTATGTTCATGGGTCTTAGAAAATACGTAAGTTGAAAAAAGTTTACTTCATAATATTACTCAAAGGCATAATGGTCTTGTGATATTCCAAGAGATTTTATTGGCGTACTTCTCATGCATTGCATTCATGTACATTTACCCATGACCTGCTGGAGTTATATACGTGTATATATGTATATATATATATATGTATATGGGATATGGGAAAAGGTTAAAACGTTATATACACACCACCACCTGATCAGCTGGTATACGTTGATGATTTGCCCAAAGTGGCAGAGATGATAAGACAGGATGCCCTCAGAGGCTTGATGATGTTATGAACACATATACCCATGCATGATATTATCCTGCCCAACCTCAGGAGGCGCGACTGGCGCTCAATCGAGTTAACCCAACTGAGCACGCCTTATCAAACACTTTCTACCCAATTCAATATGAATAAGGAAACCATGCATTCGTTTATTTAGATGCTAGGAAGGAATGTACATTCAACCTTGTTAGTTCATTTATATCACAACTTTAAACCGTAGTTAAGTTTCGAAGATTCCACACAATTACGCTTTAGAAAAGCAAGAGTTAAAATTACAACATAGTTCATAGACCCATCTAACACCCGTACATAACCCACACATATGTCTACGGAGCCTCTAAGGATACAAAAGACAATGATGATAACGCCGACAATAAGGCCCCGGCTATACTTCAAAAGTGGATATCTATATCAAAAGATGTACAAAGTAACCCCTTGAAGGAGAAATGGGCTCATCAAGACTTTGAGAAGAAGGTACTCCGCTACGCGCGATCGACACTATCCGCAATGGAGCCACCTACATTCATTTAAAAATGTAGCGCCCCGGCAAAAGGGACGTTAGTACCATGGAATAGTACTAATATGTATAACTAAACACCATCTAGTTAGAAAGAACTTTCATACAAAAATAAGGAAATCACAAGTATAACTCAAAAGCTTTAAACTATCACAACATTATCAATGTAAAAGAATCATACAATTTTCACATCATGTTTCCATAGCCTTTAGTTTGGGGTATTTCATACTGTTCATCGTTGTTCACAATACCACCGCTATCTTGAGCGGAGTCCGATCACGACCCGATCGGCTAGGTTTCCTCAATTGAGACATATACTTCAATCACCATTTCATTTCTCTTTTTCGGAA